AAACCCTCCTCCGTTGATGACCATACGGAGGGAAAGTTTTCCCACCTGCTGTGCATGAACAGAGGCTCTTGCAGATGTTCGGGGACGTAGAAGTCCTCAGGTCTTGTGATGGAGAATGTGGTTTGGATGGGAACCGACTCATCATATGGTCGGGCATCCTCTTCTGCTTCCCTCGTCTCACAGGCATCCCGACGAGGAGCATCATTTCGCCGATATTGTGCAAGTCTTCCCCCCTTTTTTGAGGGTCTCGATGGCATCCTTAAGGTGGACGTAGTCTTCGGTCAAGTGCCCATGGCTCCGGTGATAGTGGCAGTATTTGCTTCGGTCTACCCCGGGGTTTGGCAGGAGCGGGGCGGGTATGCTTGATGCCGCCTTCCTTGAAGTCTGTACTTGCGCACTCTGCTAAGATGTGCTTGTGGGTAGCCGTTAGCGGAGTGTATTCAATGAACCTCCCCGAGGGCCCCCTTTGTTCCTGGGCGTCTCTGGGTTTATCGTCCCTTCTCTTCTCGCCAGTTCCTCGAGGACGGGCGATGTCTTATCATAGATTGCTGCTGGTTCTGCGATTCCTGGGATCTCGGGCTCTGTTGGCCGCTTCTCTCTCCTCGTAGTCCATATAGGCCATGGCCTTCTCGAGGAGGGCATCGAACGTCTGGGGTGGTTCGATGCCTACGGATTTTCTGAATTAGGTGCCCGAGAGGAGCCCCCTTTCGAGCAGGTACCTCTTCATATGGTCCGTGCAGGGGACCTGGATGGCTTCCCGGTTGAAGCGATTAATGAATTCTCTCAAGGTCTCATCATGTCTCTGGACGATGACCTCGAGAGCTGCTTCAGTCTTCGGGTGTCTCCGCGAAGCAGTGAACAAGCTGATGAACTAGTTCTTCAGGTTTCGCCAAGAGGTAATTGACCTCGGGGCGAGGCCTTTGTACCAGTCCATAGCCGCTTTCCTAAGAGTCATGGGGAACAACCGGCATTTGATTGGTCCCCCGATGTTGTGGTAGTGCAGCATGGCTTCAAACCCGTCTATATGGTCGATCGGGTCGGCGATGCCGTCGTATTCCTTTAAGTGGGGAGGCTTCTCCATGCCCGGGGGAATATGGCCCTCCATGATAGCTTGTGACAAGGGACCGCAAGGGTCGTCCTCGTCACTCTGTTCAGGAGAGCGAGACGGAGATCCGATGTAGTGGCGGTCAGGGTGGCCCTGGTCGCACGGAGCGTTCCTTGGGCGGTATGGCCGTTGATGGTTTCTCCCGTGCCTGTCGCCGGGGAGTCTTCGTTCTTGCCGCGAGGGGCCATGATCATGCCTTCCCGTGTCGACGAGCTGTTCCCTCTCCAAAGGGGGTCATCGCCCGAGTAGTCGGGGCGACGGGCTTCGAGAGATGTCCCGATTCTATCTCTGCGGGGGAGATTGGGGATGTTCATCCGCTTGTTGAGGGGGAGGAGATTGAGGTCTCCTGTGCCTTCTCGGGGGCCTCCGATTGTCCTTGAGCGCCCTCAGTCTTTCCCCCTGGGCGAATATTAGATAGTTGGTTTGATTGATTGCCGCGAACAGTTCCCTGGTCGTGGCGTCTGCCCCGGCGGAGACGGGGACCTCGTGAAATTGGACGTGTGGATAGTTCAGGGGAGGTGGCCGATCTTCTTCAAGTCGAGGAGGCATTGATGAAGATGAAGCAGTGGTTCCGTCCCTATAGTTAGAAGGTCTGGGCATGTTGACGCCAGGGACTGTGTTATGGCCGGCGGTACCGGCGTTGTCGAGGCCGACATTATTGTTGGCAATGTTGTTGTTAACGTCGATGACACAAACATTCAGGTTGTCTGGATTCTGGTCAGCCATGACAGTCGAGGATTGTTTAGCTTTTGGTCTAAAGTGAATAGAAGACGGGGAAACTTAGATTCCCACAAACGGCGCCACTGATCTTACCGGATCAGAAATGGACCGTCACAGCCGGCTTCGGGCTGAAGTTGAATGAGATGGGGGGGGGGGGGTACCTGCAAGATACTCCGATGGTAAAATAAGAAGCGGAATGAGCAAGCAAGTATGAGTTTTGAAATGTATGAATGAATACCTCACCCTCTTATGAGAGAGGGTATTTATAGCCCCCAGCGCTGGGCCAAAGTCCCCACTATTGAGCCACGCGTAGGCCCAGTAACAGGAACTGCCAGGGCTTACGTGTGTATGGAGTCTAGCAAATGGACTCCCCCCTGGCCAACTGCTCCGTGAGAATAGGGCTAGACCCGAGATTCCCGGAGGGCAGCTTGGGATGTCTGTCAGGAGGTCGTGGTTCACGTCCTCCAACAGTTGGATGGGGAGTTGCCCCACGGTCCCTAACTTGGGCCATCTTTGGGCTTCCCATTCGTAGGGCAAATGTAGGCCCAGTCCAGATCACATATATATCGAAAATTATTAGTGGAGATAAAAAATTAAGTATATACTAATAAACTTTTGATTTACTTAAAGACACAATGTTGTACTTACACATTCATCATAAATATGTTGAACATATTTCCTAACAACTCCATCCTTGCCCACACGAGCTTCCTTCCACAAATCATGCGTCGGAATTGATGTTTCGTCACTTTTCGTCTCCTCTAACTACACATTGACACAAATCATAAGATCATCAATTATAACATATTGAGACAATTAATAAGATCGTAGAATTTATATATACTTAAAATTTTTTGTTGTAAGCGTGCATATCCCAAACTCCTTTTTCTGTATGGATACGTGGATGTTGATGCTCTCTCGCGATTTGTGTCACTCACTTTCTTGAATTTCTCATTTTCTATTCGTTTGGATACAAATACATCCCATTCTTCGGGTCCAATGAAGTTGCTATACTTCATTGGACGATCCGCTTTAACAAGATTTCCTTGCTCATCCTTAAGAAATTTGTTTGTTAAAAAACTTCTCCACCCTCAGTGTCTTTTTCTGGCCACTTGAAGACAATACTTTTTTCGGTTGTCTTCAATGTTAAAAGACCTCTACGAAAAAACATACGCATTATAGTGTGTTAGTATAAGTAATTTAAAGACATTATCATGTGATCTTCATTAAGAGAACAAATATTAAGCATACATATAAGACATTCCCAAGCCTTACTTAGTTATGGACTAAAATAACAAAAACATTATACTTTAAAGCTAAATTATATGGTACCTGTATATCAGTCCAAATTTTGTCTTTGTAGGAATCCAAATCTTTATTAGTCCATTTATCAAAGGTGATTGAAACGTGCATACGAGCAAGTGTACTAATGTAGCTTGTCAACTTTGCACCATTAGGATCGATTATTTGGTTATCATCATTCCAATGTACATCATATTTTACTCCTTTATCTCTATCAAGAATGATTTTTCTCATAATAGTGATGCCTCGTGTAATTTCTCCCTCTGATGTCTTATCTGGAGCATTTGTATCTTGTGAGTTTTCTTGATTACTAGCCATTGACCTGTAATAAAGAAAAAAATAAAAATGAAATGACAAATATATGAGGCTAACACAGATCAAACTATGCAATACAACATCCTCATTCATGAACAGTTTATGCAGTAGTTAATAATTTCATCATTTCACCTTCATACTTGAACCATGTTCTTTTCTACTCCATCTAAGACTGAACACTGAACACATACAACAACAAGAACCACTGAACACATACAACAACAAGAATGACGTACCTGAACTACGGTGGTCTATGACGGTCGGAGAAGAAACGATTATGAACAGACAGAGAAGAATCAGTCGGAGAGGAGAAGAAACGATCGCGGAGAAGAAACAATTACAACGATTAGAAATGAATGAATAGGATTCTGAAAATTTTATATTTTAATTTTATAATTTGACCTAAGACAACACTTTTTAAAAGCGCTTTCTATAATACAAGATATAGCAGCGCTTTCACGAGAAAGCGCTATCTTAAGTGAGGAAATTTTATAATTTGACCTAAGCCAGCGCTTTTTAAAAGCGGTTTCTATCATACAAGATCTAGCAACGCTTTCACGAGAAAGCGCTTTCTTAAGTGGGGCGAATTTAAGGCCTTTAGCAGTGCTTTGTAAAAGCGCTTTCTAAAGGCCGGCTGTAGCAACATTTTTTTTAGCGAATTTTTTAAAAGACCTACAACAGCGCTTTCTAAGATAGGGCATTTAGCAGCGCTTTTTAAAAGCGCTTTCTAAAGGCTGTCTGTAACAGAGTTTTTTTTAGCGAATTTTTTAAAAGACCTACGACAGCGTTTTCTCATAAATGTGCTGTCTTTTTGGTGATGCCAAAAATCAATTTTAACGTAGTGTCTCTCATATCATGGAGATCAAAGAAGTAAATCACTATTTCTAGAAGCTCACCTGAATATGAATATCAACTATCAGTGAGACTCAATGGTTAACTTATCTCCTACATGATCTTAAATTGGCACACAACTCAAATACTTTGCTGTATCGTGACAACCAATATGCAAGGTACATTGTGGCAAAGTCCTCGTTCCATTAGAAGACGAAACACGTAGAATTAGGCTGTAACTTGGTAAGAAAAAACTCTAACATCATCTCTTTCATCTCTTTCCCATCACCTCATCTCAGCAATTGGAAGACATATTTACAAAAGCTTTTGATGTCACTCCCTTTCATACTTTTGTTTCTAAGGTTGGTCCCTTCAACATATGTGATCTATTTTGAGGGGGGATAATAGACTATAGTAAACTTTTTGTTAATTATTTAGCATTTCTAACGTTAGTTAGTTAGATGGGTAGGCCATTCTCACTGTTTCTAACTATCATACGTTTGTAATCTTCTTTTTCATAATGGAAGAATTCACTCATTCACAATAAATTTTTAAGTAATATTTTTTTATATTCATTTTATATATTGAAATTTAATGGAAATAAACCCGAGAAAATCATGGGTATTTGTTTGGTGAACCTTGACGAGTGACAATTCCCTTACATCATTACATGAGATCGAGGTTAATGTTTGGTAACTAGGTAGGTTGTTTATCAACGTTGGATGAGATGGAAAAGAGCAAAATTCTGATAATTGGTGCTACGGGAAGTCTTGGTTACCATTTAGCAGAATCGAGTCTCAAATTTTGTCACCCAACATTTGCTCTTGTTAGAGATTCTTCTTTTTCCGACCCAATCAAATCCCATAAACTTCAATGCCTTTCCCATGCCGGTGTTACCCTTCTCAAAGTATGTTTTTTTCTTCTCTCTCTTTTTGTAATATTTTGTTCCAGTCTTATCTCATTCTCGTGGCTGATATTTCACGCACAGGGTTCTCTCCAAGATGAAGCTAGCCTTGTTGAAGCTGTGAAGCTAGTAGATGTTGTAATTTGCGCTGTTTCAGCTAAACAGACTTTGCAGCAAAAGCTTCTCATCAGGGTTATCAAACAACTTGGTTCAATCAAGGTAAACCATAGTACACATTGCTGAATTACTCCTATGCAGTTTCAAACCTGTTACAGTCTTACAAAAAATGTGTGCAATATTTGTTTATTATTTGTTGGTTGCAGAGGTTCATTCCATCTGAATTTGGCTCAGATCCTACCAAGGCTAAAGTATGCGAACTCGAAGATGGCTATAACTTCTATGCACCCAAAATTCAGATTAGGAAACTTGTGGCATCTGAAGGGATTCCATATACTTTCATATCCTGCAATTTCTTTATGAAAGTTTTGATTCCTTCTCTTGTTCAACCTGGCTTAAAAGCTCCTCCTAGGGAAAAAATCACCATATTCGGTGATGGCGATACAAAAGGTCTTCACTTCTTCAAGAATTGAAGATCGTTTTTGTTTTTGAAGTGCTTGCTTATTAATGAACTGTTTTCAATTGCAGGTGTGTTTATGCAGGAATGTGATGTTGCTGACTTTACTATCAACGCGGTTGACGATCCCCGCACGTCGAATAAAGTTTTGTACTTGAGACCTCCTGGAAATGTTTGTTCTTTGAATGATCTGGTTAAGTTGTGGGAAACTAAAATAGGGAAGAAGCTCGACAGGTTGCATGTCTCCGAAGAAGATCTGGTTGAGAAAATCAGAGGTATTATTATAATAAATAGTACTCTTTTTTGAATATGTTGCAGTTTCTTCATAAATACATGTATTGAAACAAACTATACTAATTCAATACTTTCTGCATTTTTTGTGGCTTTGCAGCAACAACTTTCCCTACAAACTTCGAGCTGCTTTTTATATATTCTGCTTTCATAAAGGGAGATCACACATACTTTGATATTGAGTCATCCTCTGGTGTGAATGGCACGGAACTATATCCACAGCTGAGATATACCACAATCAGTGAGTTTTTAGACACACTTATGTAGAGTTTGTTTCTTTAGGATGTTTGGAAACTAAACACATATTAGCATTGAAAATTCCGTTTTTCCTATGTGACATGTTGTTTATCTTTGTACTTGTGAACACAACTTAAGAATGTGTAAACGGGTTTTTGAACAAATTAACAATGCTAGTTCTCTGGAAAGGAGTAGTTGATACAAAATTCAGCAATAAACATACATTATATTACAAGGGCTCACACAACAGCTAATGGAGAAGCTATGTCCATAAGCTGTAAAATCAAGAAAAAAAAGTAAATGAAAACATATGTGATATGTAAATTTGTAATCTTAAAGAAAATTTGTGTGTTTAACATTTGATATTTCAATCCCCAAGGATAACAATTGAATGTAATGGAGAAGTTATGTCCTTAAGCTGTGATTGTTTTGGTAGGAAATGTTGAGTAAGAAAGTTTGCTACCACATAGGTATGGGGAATTCCTTCAGCCTCAATTCCTTTCATTAAAACAAAACAACGTATGATTGAAAAAATTAATGTTCATAAAACTAAGGTTCAAAATCGTTAACAGAGTGTGACTGCATGAAAAAATGACTGCAGCACATTCAAATTCATTAGTTTGGTGATTAGCGAAAAAGAAATATTGGAGTTGTACTACTATTGTAGTAAGAAGGAAGTTACTTATTCAACTCTCCATAACTTCTTCAATAGAGCCATGACCACACTTCATTTTAAAATGTTAAATTTGTGTATTACATTATTATTTCTCTACTAAATATGACTGTGGAAGTTAAAATGTGTCCCTATTCATCTCTAATCACAATTGAAAAAAATTATATTAAGTTAAAAATAATATTTAATTTAAAACATTTTTATTATAATCTATTATAATTTGTTTGTTGAGTTGACTCATATTGTTGAAATTATTATAGATATTGTCGAGTATATCTTATATTGTTGAAATAATTATGGGTAGAGATAACTGTTTATTAAGGGTAATTGGAAAATTACGGTAGAGATAACTATTTGTTGAGGGTAACTGAGGATTATAGTTTAGGTAAACTGGACATTAGTATTATATATATGACTTGTAGCACTGTAATCAATATTCATAAGACAAAAATAAAGGGAATTATAACTGCTCTATAGTAAAGTTTACATAAGGCGTTGCGTGAGACAAAACCAAACTACATGAAAGATACCAGTTTAGCAGAGATGAAGGAAAAAGGCTGCACGATTGATTTGTCAATGTGTTTCAGACAAAATGATCATATCCTGTAACTGACGACCTCAAAGGAGATTTGGGACAAATAGGAAAGTCAATATATGTCAAAGACGTTGATGAACAAATTATGAGCGAAACAACTATTCAGTCTGAAGGTGTAGGAAAGATCTAGTTTGCAATGACATGTCAATGTATTCAACAACATAATCACTGATCTGACGAGGCTTAGAGTGAAGATTGATGATGTGATAAGGCAATTATCTTACTCTGATCGTTACTAGGTTCTTATGACCAATTTATGACTACTCTTACCTACAGGAAATACACTATCAGTCTTGATACGATTACTGCTACACTTTTGCCTTATTCTCAAAGGAGACGAAGGAACTCAAGGTGACATATTGTATGTGAAAGGGGGTCAAGATCGTGGGTGGAACAAGGATAATGGAGGTCCTGGAAAAATGAGGTCTAAATCTAATAATTGTAAAACAACCGAGTGTTATAGTTGCAAACAGATTGAACATTTGAAGAGGGACAACCCAAATAGAAACCAGGGATCGTCCATTTTTGCAAATGTGGTTCAAACCGATGAATCTGAAAGTGAAGTAGATATACTTTATATTTCATCCAACAAGTGCATATATGAATGATTCTTGATTCTGGATGTTCTTTCCACATGATGCTGGACTGGGAATGGTTCAGTACATTCATATAGGTAATTTCATATTTGTTTATCTAGGTAACACTACTAGAAAATTCGGGTTTAGTGACTATTGATAAATACAAGGCTCGCCTTGTTGCCAAGGGTTTTAGACAAAGAGAAAATATAGATTTCTTCGATACCTTTTCTCTTGTCACTAAAATTACATTCATTAGGGTACTTATTTCAATAGCTGTCATTTATAACTTAATAGTACACCAAATTGATGTTAAAACAACTTTTTTAAACGGTGACTTAGAAGAAGAAATCTATATGAAACAACCGGAAGGGTTTGTGATCCATGGACAAGAAAACAAGGTCTGTAAGTTAGATAAGTCTTTGTATGGGCTAAAACAAGCTCCAAAACAATGTCATGTAAAGTTTGATAACTTAATGATATCGAATGAGTACAAAGTGAATGAAAGTGACAAATACGTTTATTACAAATTTGAGAATTGTATTTGCACTATGATATGTCTATATGTAGACGATCTACTCATACTTGGATCAAACATAGGCCATTAATGATATGAAATCATTATTGTGCAACAACTTTGATATGAAAGACCTCGGAGAAGCGAGTGTGATCCTTGGTATCAAGATCACGAGATTCGAGCAAGGAATTTCTTTGGATCAATCACAATATGTGAAAAAGATCTTAAAGAAGTATAATTACTTTGACAGTAAACCTGTGAGCACACCAAATGATCCAAGCGTGAAGCTGTTTAAGAACACCGGTGAAAGTGTTAGACAAACAGAATATGCGAGCATCATTGGAAGTCTTAGGTATTCGATTGATTGTACTAAACTCGGCATTGTATATGTCGTGAGATTGTTGTGCGGGTTTACTAGTAGACCGAGTAATGAACATTGACAAGCTATTGAGCGAGTCATACGGTACCTTAAAAGGACCATGAATCTCAGTTTACATTATCAGAGATTTTCTATTGTACTTGAAGGGTACAATGATGCAGATTGGAATATCTTATCAGATGATTCCAAAGCAACTAGTGGCTATGTATTCAACATAGCTAGAGGAGTTGTATCTTGGAAATCAAAAAAACATACTATCTTGAGAATATAGCATTAGCGACTGCTAGTGAAGAAGCAAGTTAGTTAAGATGCTTGCTAACTGAGATTCCCTTATGGGAAAAACATATGTCAGTTGTGTTGATCCATTGCGGTAGTACCGCGGCTATTGCAAAAATTGAGAACCGTTATTATAATGGTAAAAAACGTCAAATTAGAAGAAATCACAATACTGTTAGAGATTGTATCTCTAAACGGGTGTAAGAGTGGATCATGTACGCACTGATGAAAATTTAGCAGATCCTTTGACGAAAGGATTAACTAGAGAGAAAGTCTATAATACATCATATAAGATGGGACTAATGCCTATAGGAAAATGAGTTGCTCATGATGGTAACCGACCTAAATGACCGGAGATCCCAAGAAATAGGTTCAATGGATAATAACAAGTTGTGATTAATATGAGATGATCATGCAAGTAAAGCATGAATCCTGAAGTAATAAGAGGATGAAATCATAGAAACGCTTAATGAAATCTATACTCTGTATGAGGGAGTACCTAGGCTACATGAGTACTCTTGATAGACTCACCTATGTGATTGTGGAACTTAGGCCGGTTTCTATAGAATTTCGAGGCAGAATTCTTAGAGCCTTCATTAAGCTGGGATACACGTGCAGGGCCATTAAAGCACGGGCTATTAGAATACACCTTAAGAAAAGGTTGTGTGCAAGTTTGACGTCTGAGATAGAGTTCAAGACATTTGTGTCACTCTTGTTGAATTGGAATCCTACTTACTATACAAAGGTTCAAGTCGTAGACACCTTTGTTTATGCACAATCTTAGAAACGTTTGACGTTACTTCTAAAATCAATTTTTTAAATTCAAGTGGGGGATTGTTAGAACATTTCCATGTTCCAATATGTTGAATTTAAAAATTTCTCAAGTCCCACATTGTTAGAATATCTTTTTGGTTAAAAAAGCCATTTAGTCCCACATTACTCATGTGAGAAATATTAACTATCTTATTTCACTATATAAGGAGTGCACATGTTTCATTCCAAATCACACCAAAAACTATTCTATTAGTTTTTCCTTCCTCACTCTCATAACTTTGTGTCTCTCGAATTGTCGAAGCGTCATCTTCTTCCCCTTTCTTCCTACTCATCGAATTTTCCGAGTATTTTCTTGAATTCTCTTTAGAGAATTATGTCAATTTCTCCTCATTTGAGTTGAGAAATTTTCAAGTTTAATCTTTTGGATTCTCTTTGGAGAATTATTTGAATTTCTCTTTGTTGGAGAAATTATTATGAGTAGTCAAATGACCATTATTAATTTCTCTTTGGAGAATTATTTGAGTTTTTTTTGTTTGAAAAATTATTATGACTGGTCTTTGTATCAGATACTACGAGTGGTGGTGTTGATACCATATTTGAATGGTCTTGTACCATCAGAAGGTGTATTTCTAGACCGATTATCTATCATACACGGCTACGAAACGTCCTAAAAAGAGCGACTTAGTCCGCGACTCAACCTAATAATTTCTTTGGTGACAAATATTTTAAAATCTATATATATATATATATATATATATATATATATATATATGTAATATTGGAATCTATATTCATAAAACATAAATAAAAAGAAAATTATAAGTGTTATATAATCGCACGATAAATACTATGGAGTAAATTAAGTTAACAAAACTCAATCATATTTATTATTTTATACTATTGAGTAAATTAAGTTAACAAAAATCAATCATATTCATTATTTAGTTTCGTTTATCTTTACTCTTCTATACCGGTCATTCTTACAACATTGTTTTTATATTAAACGCATCATTCATCCTTTATGTTTTGTCTTAAAAGTCTTTTGCTTATTTTTATTTAGTTTCAAAATGGTCTTTGAAAATATCAAATTAATCTTTTCATTTTTGGCATAATGATATTTTTGCTGATGTTATTGGGCAACATTTAGTGGTTAAAATGACTCGTTTGAAATAAAAATAAATAATTAAATATGTCGTTTATTCTTATAAATAATTTAAATTTGATTTTAGTTTTTATAAAAATTTCTTTTGGATAATATTCTTCATAAGAATTTTCATTCACATTTTGTCTCTCCTACTAAAATCATCACTAATTCTGACGCCAAGTAAAAATTATCATTAATTCCTGCCATTAAATTATAAAAAACGATAATTAAATTGTAATAGAGACTAAAATTGTAATAAAAAAAAATTTTAAAATTAATTATTTTTATAAAAAAATATTTTAAGAAATTAAAAGTGAAATATGAAAATTTTAAAAACTTGATATATTATTTAAACAAAAAATAAAAAGAAATTTTTTTATTAACACAAAATATAAAGGACGTTGGGACGCACTTTCCTATAGATGATTATAGAAATAAACTGAAAATAACATAGCAGGGTATAAATTGTTTTCAAAAACTTTGTAAAGAGCCATGCAAAATATTTAAATGATATTTATATTCAAATAAGTTAACAATATTCCATCATTTCATTAAAAAAAAAGTTAACAATTTGCACTTCAGTATCAAAAATCGTTTTTAATTTATGAAAGTCATTCTTTTTCAATTGTCTCTTTCCTCTTAGATTTTCTTAAGGGGGACAAATAAATTCATAGAATAATTTATTTTTTATCAACTTGATGTCAAGATTCTCTTCTTGCTTATGATGATTCATTACAATACAGTTTGAATATCTTGCCAAAGTTTTTATCTTCATGTTAAATGCAGGTTCAATTTTATTAGTTTTAAATGAAGATTTCTCTCGGATCTTTATCTAATGTAAGAAACAGTAACTACATTGTAACATTTTCATTTCAAGTGGCCATATTGTAACTTGAATGTAGAAAAAAGTGAGTGAAACAAGTAGTAAAATGATCTTATTTATTAATAGGGAACAGTATACAACCAAATATGTTATGTACTTGAAAAGAAGAAGAAGAATGTTGAGAAGAAGCATCTTGAATGAGTTCTTCCAACAAAAAATAACAGAACATCTTGTTTACATCTCCATCTTCAAATTGCTAGCTTCAACCATGCCTGCGATCATTAAACAAATCATTAGGAATAGCTCTCGCATCGGTCGAATCAAGGTCCGCAACGTTTGTTACCGCAACCGTAGTTTAAAACAATTGGCAGATAAAAAGAAAAGTGAGTAAAGAATCTTTATGTTGATGAAAAAGGACTTATCAATATCTGTGGGGCTCTCAGGTCTCTATCATCTAAGAAAATTCAATTTGTCTTGAATCTAATTTCTACTTCTATGATAGCTGCCTAAGAAAAAAGTGATTAGACAAGTCATAAATTGGTAGATAGATACCTGTGAATGGTTGAGAAGGAAAAGACAATGATCTTCCTTGATCAAAATCCACACTGTGAAGGTTTTGAAAATCACCTTCCCAAGTTGAAGAGGGTAAGATATGCTGCAGTACATATAAATTAATATTCATTAAAGAAGAGTAATAATCATTAACGAACATGAACAATGTTTTAGGTACACAGAGGAGAAACATACGGTGAAACATGACGAGTCAAAGATTTCGGGTAAAGATGTAGACGTGGGGATACTAATGTTCCTCCAAAGCCCGATTTCCGAAGAGATTATCCCCATATTGTTTATTAATCCACCACAACTTGAAACTAGTTGTTGTGCTGAATTAAATTGAAGATATGTAGTAGGGTTAGTCATGTCTGATTGCATCCCTATGGTTGGAAAATTTTGAGGAAAAATCTGTAAAGAACAAATTATATAAGTGCGTGTTAGTATGAAAGATAAAAGAAAAGAATGAAATAAATTTTTTTAAATTGCCGTCATAATCACAATCAACTGCGGTCAATGTGACTGAGAGAGTCATACATCTTTAATTCTCGGTCACGGACCTAACACAGAATATTATGATTATTGCATCTAGATCAATTGCATTGCAATTACCTCTTTGACAAACAATTCATCAATGTTGAAGTCAAGTCTTGGATTTACAGCTGCTAATTTCATTGACAAGAACTGCATTTGGCGATAATGTACCATGAGTTAAGTGAACTTCAACTATTTGATCTTAAAATCGAAACCTAATAAACTAAAACTTAATCAAATACTATCATTCAGCCTAATTAATTTCCAATAGCAAGAAATTGAGCAGGACTAAAACTCTAACCTCAACTTGTCTTTGAAGAGATTGAACATAGTTAATGATTTCATCAAGCATTCCAGCTTTTCCTGCAATTTTGTTGCATCCTGGCACTAAATCTTGTAAATACTTCATCCTCTCGCTTATTTTTTCCCTTCTAACCTGCAAAAAACCGAACACAACATTAACATTGAAACCAAAAAAAAAAAAAGCTAAACAACCAACCAAACAAATGTCTCATTGATTTCATTGTACTTACTCTTTCTGCTAAGCTATGACTATCCGTGGCTTGACCACGACGTGCTCGAACATGAATGTAATCAAGCTTTTCCTTTGAATTAGTATCACCAGAATTTTCTCTTTTCGATCCATTGTTGAGCTTTGTATTCTTGTGTCCCTTTGTAGTTTGCTCACTGGTTTTGGATTCCTCTTCTTCTGCACTCATTTTGATCCTCTTGTCACACTCTTGAACAACATCAACAACCTAAACAAAAGCAACAAACCTTAAAACCAAACAAAAACACCTTAACAAACAAATTCTTCAAAATCAATCTCACACCTTAGAATTATTATTATTACTATCATTAATTTCAGCTTTTCTTTTCTTAATGATATATTTTCCGAATCCATTATTAGCAACGACTTCGCCAAGAGCGGAATCACAAGCCACCATCATAAACTGTGGAGAAGAAGAAGAAAATTGTTGAAAGTTGATGGTTGGTTTTTGTGTTTGTAACAGTGTCATGTCGGAAATGGTCGTTTCTCCTCCTATTAGATTACCCGAAGTGTTGAGACAGTGTAACATGTTGTTGTTGCTTTTGTTATTGTTAATAGGAATATGTACGTCTTTACTGTTCTCGGTGCGTACTGTTTTCTGTTACTGCTAAGTTACGCAGTGGTGGGTAATGTTGATAACGTGCGCTACGCTCGCACCGGGAAGAAAAGAGTGATGTGAGAGAAGAGGGTGTTGAAGAACATATATATATATATATATATATATATATATAATAATAATAAATTAATGGAAAATAATGAAAATAAAAAAGGTTAGTTGTGATTAAAAAGAGTTAAGAAAAGAAATAATAATGGTGATGAGTGGAGAATGGCGGAATGTGAGAAGGAGTGGGCGGAGGTATTAGTGAGTGTGGGACAGAGAGCCAACCGATATATCCATAACCGAGGCTGTGGGTTCTGGAGCCTACTGATATGACCGCCACGTGGGCGTGTTCCATAGCACTAAAATCACACTCTTTTTTATTAAATTCTTTTTTTATTTTATTTTTACACTACATGCAATGATTGCCTTCATTTAATTCACATTTTAAATATAAAAACAAGTTTTCAACTCCAATATTTCAAAATGGATTCTTTGCATTCTGGTTTCCACGCAATGTGCAGTCGTAATGTTTACGGCGGTTAGATCTTAATCAGACAGTATAAAACAAAGAGAATGTTAACGAGGGTTCTTGAGTTTTTTAAGTGTTTAAAATAGTAATTTTTTTAAAAAAATACATATAATTAATATATATTAAAAATTAAAATAATTGATTTTACTCTGTTGGCTGCAGATAAATCAAATATATTGAATTTTTTTTAAGTAATTATTTTTTTCTCAAATAATCACTTTTTTGAAAATTTTACTAAAATGATCACTTTTCAAATAAAAAAATTTCGCCACACAGAGGAGTAGCCACTCTGTGTGGCGCATGCATTCAATTTAAAGAGGAGGCGCCACACTGTATGGCTTGTCCTTCTCTGTAAAGCCATACAGTGTGGCGCGTGCATGTGTTTTTGAGAGGAGGCGCCACCCTCCTTGTCTTAACAGTGTTAATGCATTTTTTTTAAATAAAAAAAAACTATTTTTTTTTATATTTATATTTAATATTACACAATGCATGGATACACTTTTTTGGACGTCCCCTCAACCTAAGCGGGTCTCCGTATGACATAAATGATTGCGCCTTTGCCTCACCCATTGTCTCACTCCTCTCTGTTGATTTTCTGAGGTGTTTGTGGTCTATTCTGACTCGCTTGATTATGAGGTACTTACTGTGATAGTTCTGACACATTATGATCATACATCTCATCGATCATTTCGCCCCACTGTGTTGTGCTTCCAAAGAAATCGGTGCCCATATTGTTGAAGTTTGGTCTTATTGGTTGGGATATGTGTGGGTGGTGGGGTGGTTGATAGTATTGGGATGTTGAATCGTGATGGAAATGAAGCAACGGTTCTTGTGGTGTATGAAATCCGTATGATGGTTGGGTACTTCGATTGTATGATGTTTGACTGTATGTAGGTTGAGTGGTATGGTAGGAAGGAGATGTATCATATGTGTCTTGGATGTTGTGGTAGGATGAGGATGGTGCATATTGTTGGTGGTGGGTCGGGTCATGCTCTTGGTATTGTGTTTGTGTGTGTGCCATGAATTGATGACGGGTTTGGTTGAATGAAGTGGTGTATGGTTGTTGGGTTTGAGCGGGTTGACATTGTGGTTGGGTTTGGTATTGTTGAGGGGTTGGTTGTTGGGGTTGTTGTTGGGCGTATGTTGCAGCTCTTTGGCGTGAATCAATCAAATAAGTCTCTTGAGACAAAAATAAATTTGTTGAAATCGATGTGTACCATCTCAAATATTGGAGCATCGGTTTTAAGTCATCTTGCAAGATTGGCTACCTTAGGACCAGTTCACGTTTATCCCTCCATTGACGACATTGATTTTTAGCGAAGTCTCTCAAATCGTTAAATCTCCACTGGTCGTCAACTCTTAGTAGATGCCATTGACCCAAACATGTTAGGGGGTCGGGGATACCCTGTTGCATGCCGAGCTGTAGCTTCACACGATCACTATGGTGCATTTCCATAGTAGTGAACCTGATGAGTGATGTTTTTGCAGTCCAGACTTCAGCATCAAGAGGGTTAATCTCATGGTCGATATCCTTATACGGCCTCCATACAAACTGTAGAGTAAAAAAAGTTATATAAAATATTAAACTTAATTAAAATATTGAATGCATTGTATAGAATATGTAAGTTTAATACCTCTTCGGGTCCAACATGATCAATAAGATTTTGGTAGACTACTATTGCATTTCTAGGGGATTTGTTGTAATTCATCCCAGGAACAGACCACCTACATAGAAAAAATGGGTAATAAATTAATACACTACATGTCTCGGTATATAATATGTAAAATTTATGGTTTTGTAATCTTACTTTGTAGCAAAGGGGAAGATGAATGGCCTTGTGTTGTAGGGGGTGAGTGTCGGCATTCTCGACCAGCACCATGTCTGGAGCAAAAAGACGCAAGAATAGAAAGAACAACTACCGTTCGATGCATTTTTACACAAGGAACTATACAGATGGGCAAAAACAGATGAACCCCAACTATATGTGTTTATTTTATCAAATTGTCTTAACAAGGGTAAATACATGATATTGACAGTATTACCCGTTGTTTCAGGAAATAAAAAATGACTAAATAATATCATTATGTAATACTGAGCTTTCACAATTTTTTCTTGCTCGGTAGAGTTTTCGGTTATTACGAGACTACTATGATATTCTCTAAGAAGACGGAGATTAATACCTTGGCCTCTTGACCCTTGTTCAAATAAAGAGACTCCCAAAAGTTCCTCGCATATGGCGTTGTCTTGGTTGACTCGGCCATTGATAGCCTTACCGTTGATCGGTAGACTGAATAACATGTACACGTCCTCTAGTGTGACTGTATATTCACCACATGGAAGATGAAAGGTGTGAGTTTCGAGTCTCCATCTCTCCACTAATGCGAGAATAATTTTATAGTCAACATGGTAATTGACTATGTTGAGTAACGGACCAAAACCGGCATGTCGTAAGTACGGTTCAATTTGAATGTCATAAGGGACATACTCATGGACACGACAATGAAATCTTTTAACATCCTATTAAAAACATGAATTACGTACAAGAAATATAAGATTTACGTATAACAGTCATAATAATTAAGGAACAAAAAATTATCGACAAAAAATAGGTATTGAGGAAAATACACTTACAAAGGTTTCAATGTTGTTCAGAGTTCCTCTATGTTGATCACCCATGGTCAAGAGAGACATTGTTTCTTGATTACTCTTGTGTTGTTGTTGAGACTTCAAGAAAGAAATAGTGTATGAGTTATGATTGTGATGAAAATATTGGGTGAATATTACATGTATTTATAGGAAAATCTTGAAGAACACTTTGCATGCAACTTATATACATAGGCGCCATACTAGGTGGCGCCTGCTCTCATGGTTGTACATAGGCACCATTCAACATGGCTTCTTACTTTTTGCATGCATGCAAATCTGCAGCGTGGTAGGGATCAGATGGTATGCATGCAAGTTTTGTTGTTCAATGACAAGCCACCCTAGGTGGCGCATGCATGCAAAAAGAGGAGGATAAGCCACCTAGGGTGGCGCATGCATGATAAAATAGGAGGATAAGCCACCTAGGGTGGCGCATGCATGCAGAATATCAGTCTATTTAATCGTCTGTATAGGTTGCATTATTAGTATACATCCATAACTCACAAAAAACATACTTCAACAACATGGATCATTCACAAAATTATACTATTGTTGCCCATATTAACGGTGAGACGTTCAACTACGATAACTTAGGTTTTAATTTCCGTAATACCGATTCTATCCACTTTCAGATAAACAAGAAATCAAGTTTTGCACGCTTCAAAGATAGAGTAGAATCCAAATTGCAGTGTGGTCTAGTTTACCAAATTCTTTACAAGTCCCCATTTCTATTTGACAACAACCAAGTCAAATTTTATCAACTTAAGGTGCACGACGATGATGATGTTCGAAACATGTTTCGAACTCATGAACAATCCGGGTTCGATGAGATTGAGTTGTATGTTTTATTACAATAACCAGATCAATCTCAGGTGGTAGATCCTTCTCAAGACTTTAAAGAAGAGGATGAATCTGATAAGGACAACCGTCCTGAAGTCGATATTATTGACCAAGAAGAAGAAGATGATGAGGCAATGATTGATTTTATGGTCAATGATGACGCTGCAGATCAAGAGCATGAACCTATACCTGCAAGTCATGCGTACGACCCTCCGTTTCACATGACGAACTTGAACTTGGGGGAAGATGAACCAGCCTCAGATATCTTCCATGATCCTTATATGCATACCGAAGGGGCCTTGAAAGTTGGAGACAAATTTCGAACAAAAGAAGAGTGTCTTAGAGCTATCAAAAAATACCACATGGAAATTTTAGCTGACTTCATTGTAGATAAAAATAATTCAGAGAGGTACGTTATTTTATGTCGTCAAAAACCAATTTTCCCTTTTCAGTTAACTGCATCTTACAGGAAGAGAAGTGATTCATGGGAAATAGGTTCCATTGATCCACTCCACACTTGCATCACCACCGTTCCGACACAGGATCATCGGAAACTTAGTTCTCAACTAATATGTCAAGAAATGTTGCCTCTTATTAGCAAAGATCCATCATTAAAGGTGAGTACAATTATTTCTCATATCACTACGAGATTCAATTATACTCCCTCTTACAGGAAGGCATGGATCGAGAGGACTAAGGAAGTTGAACTTGTGTATGGTAATTGGGAGGAATCGTACAAAGAACTTCTAAGATTTTTGGTGGCACTCAAATATTATGCTCCGGGAACTATTATAATTTTGGAGACACTTCCGAATTTTACCCCAGACAGAACTCGTGTTAGTGGAAATGGAATATTTCATCGATTGTTCTGGGCGTTTGAACCATGCATCAAGGATTTTGCATTTTGCAAACCTA